ATGCTGTGCAAATAAATAAGGTTACAGCTTGGAAACATCATCTTAATACTTAGAGAAGTGTATGTACTGTCATCTTGGTATCATGAACAATTTAATGTAATGTCTTAATCAGGTTTTTCTCTCCCAAATGGACCCGTCTAAAGGTGCTGTTGGTGGTTGTGTCAGTTTTGTGTTGGGGATCCATGCAAACTGTCACCCACGTGCACACGTACAGGGAAAAGGTACATATACCGCTGCACATGCCACACACATGCTGTCGCACATGCACTCGTACCAATAAATTTTCACGCTGCACCTGTTTATCGCACTCAGCCATGTGTTCTCTTCAGGACGTGCTATGGAATTCATTCTGGTTGACTCAGGACTTCAGAGGATAATGTACACACACACCTTTGAGTTACAGAGGTGACTGTCCCTCGACTGACATGGATATTTGTCACTTGCCACCACACTCCCTTATCTGGCTCCAAAATACACTACATTCCTTGACCTGGCTTCATAATACTCCCACCACGTGCTGTGACCTGACTCCAAAATACTCTTACCACGCTCCCTAACCAGGCTCCAAAATTGTCCTATCACACTCCCTTGACCTGGCCCCATAACGTTCCCAGCACACTCCCTGACCTGGCTCCCTAATATTCCCACCATGCTCCCTGACCTGGTTTCAAAATACTCCCACCACACTCCCTGACCTTGCACCAAAATACTCCCACCGCACTACCCGACCTAGCTCCATAATACTCCCACCACACTCCCTGACCTGGCGTCATGATACTCCCACCATGCACTGTGACGTGACTGAAAAATACTCCCACCACGCTCCTTGAACTGGCTCCATAACACTCCCACCACAATCCTTGACCTAGCTCCAAAATACTCCCACCATGACCTGGGTCCATAATACTCACATCACACTCCCTTTTCTGGCACTACTGTATCAATATCCCAACTCCCAATCTTACACAGAATAGGTCTGGCATGGTGCAAAATCATAGACCCAGCCTGCAGTGTACTGTCACTATATAATGCAGCGGTTTCATGATGCTGGATCAGAATAGCATGTGCGGAATGAATAAGCTGTGCAATGTTCTCTGAATCAGGTATATGGTTTCATAACGGTGGGGGTGGGGATTCATTGAACCAAACGATCCAGCATACTTTACAGATTTACACCAGTAAATTCAGTACCTCTTCCAAAATAATAGCACAGTCCCTCCTGCGACCCTCATTCCTTCAGTCTTTGGGTCCTCACTCTTAGTGCCTTTGATGCTACACAGTCGGCCGGACTACCAGCAGACAACAAAACACACTTGTTTTCTTGGCTGAGTGCCACACCCAGCCTGGCACCACCCATTTCAACCTGAGAAGTCAAGCGATTCAAATTTAGGGTGGACCGACTATCAGATCGTCTACATTTCTAAGTGAAATTTTTTTTTTTTGGGTCAGCTTGTGCCTGGGGCAGTTGGGGCTTAAGGGCCTCGCTCAGGGGCCCAATGGGGAAATCACTCTGCTGACCTTGGGATTTGAACCAGTTACCTCCTGTTCGTAGCATCCTAACCTGCAGAGGCACACTCTGCCCAAAACTGCATTTGCGACCTTCGAAAGTTCAGACTGTAACCTGGGTGATTATCCCTGACGAGCCAAGAAATAATAGTTTGCGCCTTTAACCCCATTTTAGGGGTGTGTCCTTGGGATGGACTCTTGACTCTTAAACAGTGTTAACCTTTTAACAAGATATTTCTTCGCAGCACATGAACACAGGCCAGGAGAGCTTCTCTGGGAGTTCCTGAGAACCGGTTTTGTGAGCTGGGTGGCTGGGAGTTGCACTTACTCCTTTGACATGAGTAGACAGGTTGCACCCTTGGGGATGGGAGGCACCGTCAGTCCCAAGCCTGGAGGTGAGTATGTCCTGCAGAGGGGCCTGACGGTGCCTCAGCCTCCAGTCACAAGGCTCCACCCGCAGGGAAACCTGTATCCCTGGTTTAGTCGCTCAATCCAGAGTGAATCATCGCTACCTGCCGTCAAACCTGCAAAAGAATGCAACTTGCAGCAAGCATTGTCGTATCATCAGGGGACATTGGTGAGTAATTGTGGTTATTTGAAAAGAGTACTGTATACCCTTATCACCAAGGTGAAAGTAACAAACCATTTTTTTTTTTTTGCTAAAGGTTCATTTTAGTTAATGTTTTGCGTTGTGTGAGCCTGCAGTAATTTTCAATGTCTGCTGAGGAGAGCAATAAAGGGTCCGGTATTGGATCACTTCTCTAGAACTGCCTAATCTAATGCAGGTTGTGACAAGACCTGGAGTTGGTCCATAGACCCTGTTCCAGGAAGCACAGGGAACAAGGCCAGAACTTTCTTCATTGGGAAGATACACATACTAAAGCAATTTGCCTATATAGCATTCCTGGACTATCAAAGTAAACCCATGTGAACTCGGGGAGAACAGGTGACCTCCACACACTGGGGTCGTGACAGAAGTCAAACCCTGGAAGTCCATACTGCAGCCGTCATGCTGCCCACAACATACCATTGGAGATTCACCAAAATCGGTGTCCTCGTCATGCATATCTATTACAGTTGCAGACACCGGAATAGTTTACAGACTTCAGTCCCCACCGTGTCAGAGGTTCACAAATACAGTCCCCCAAACCACAAAATTCTGTGGTAATGAGTACAATCCCTTAGCCCCATATGTCCTGCTGGCACCTTCAGAGCATCAGAGAAATGAGGAATGACATCACGGATCTGACCATGTTTATTAGAGAACAAATATTGTATAAGGCAGGGGTCACCAACCTTTTTGAAACTGAGAGCTACTTCATGGGTACTGAGCCATACGAAGGGCTACCAGTTTAAGTTTAGATCCTAAACTTCATATATAATAAACATGTTTTAAATAGATATTGTCATTTTCAAATCTATATAAATGCAAATGTAATTAAAGAAGAATAGCAACAGGATAAAATTAAATTTTAGATGCTGCTCACTGGTGAGTTGTGCTATTTTTAGAACTGGTCCGCGGGCGACTCATGTGGTCCTTGGGGGCATCCTGGTGCCAGCGGGCACCATGTTGGTGACCATGTTGCTGACCCCTGGTAGAAGGAATATAGAGGAAGCTCTTTGCTTGTTGGGATCTGCAGTGATACGCGTGCAGCGGGATCAGGCAGCGGCATATGGGGGGGGGGGCATGTTAGACTGTATAGGTGTCACACAGGGGGTGGGAGCTGACGTGAGGGGGGGTGAGTCACTAAGATGTGTGAGAAGCAAACTGCCAGCTGGTCCAGGTGCTGCTGTCTGGGTGGGACAGGAAGTGGCGATGAGGGTCGGAGGGACACATGACACGAGACTGGGGGCACGAGGGCCTTTAATGCGGGGCGAGGCACAGAGCACAGTAACACAGTGTACAGCACAGGAGCAGGTACATCAGCCCTGGGGTCATTAAGCACGCAGTACAGGAGAGATAGAGTTAAACCGCGTCAGGAATTTCAGCAACGAGGGGAAAGCGCCGAATAGCACAGGAGAGCGGACATCCTGGGAACGTGTCACACATTCGGAGATGGAATGTAAATAACAGGCCTTTCACTGGTGATGGCGCCGCTGCAAACCAGATTAACTTTCTGAATCTCCTCTCCTGCTGGATTACTGGGAAGCGTTAACAGTTCCCAATTCTCTACACTTTTTTTTTTTTGTTGACCCAATAAATCCTAGAAAGGACGAACATATATAACTTCTTTAAAAGGATAGCGAACGTGTTTATACCTGTTCTGAAAAAAAAAACACAAATTATTTAAAAAGAATTAGAACTGAAAAAGGTAATAATAATAATAATAATAATAATAATAAAATAATAATAATAATAACAATGTTCTCAACCTTTCTTATCTTAAAACAACTGTTTCAACAAGCTGAAAACAACCACTGACCAATCATTTACTGAGCATCTTCAAGCCTCCTGTGCTCAGCCTGATTCAGATCCCATCCACACATTCTGCTTTAACAAAGTACCAGAAATTAACAAAAAAGCTAGCATGTCCTTTACATATTAATTGGTACAATTACAGTATATATAGAGATAGCTGTACAGGTTAGAAAGACACCGTAAATATGTGAATGTGTTGACAGGACATGTTGGCAGTAGGCTGTTACAGCCGAATTACACACAGGATTACAAATGGCACGTTTGAGGATGGGAATAAATTTGTACATTACAACCCATACAAAGGTACACTGCAGATATGTCGTGATCAACATGCAATGTTTGGCAAAGGCTCCCCCTAGTGGTGTGAATTCATATCCAGGGTTTCTGCTGGTGCTGCCGTGTGCTAATGAGCAGCAATAGTGTGCTCTAGAGCAGGGTTTCTCAACCCGGTCCTCAGGGACCACCAGACGGTCCACGTTTTTGCTCTCTCCCAATTCCCTGCCAAGTGGGAGAGAGCAAAAACGTGGATCGTCTGGTGGTCCCCGAGGACTGGGTTGAGGAACCTTGCTCTAGAGGGCAGATGCATGTCTCCACCTGCCTCGTCAGCTCAGGCCTTTCCATGGCATGGCTCATGCCAAGCACATGGTGAAGGAGACACACCAGGACAGCTACCAAATTAGTGTTTTTGTGGAAGGAAAAGTTTCACGCAGGAACAGGAGAGAACGGCCCAGCACCATTAAAAAAAAGAAATTAAAAATTCTTGTTATTTGCCTAGGCTGAACAATATATGATATACAGTCTGTGTACGGCAAGAACCCACAATGTGTAGGTTACATCGGTCTTTGTTTATGCATGAAGGCGAATTCTGTCCGTAGTGGACGGCAGCTTTGTTAGGGTGTCGGTGGGAGTGGCCTTACTGGTGGGCGTGACTCTGCCAGGGTGGAGGTGTGTGTAAGTGGCTTAATTGGTGGTTTAAGTATGTTAGGGTGGAGGTGGGAGTGGCTTCCTTGGTGGTGGTGGATGGGAATCACTTCATTGGTGGATGCACCTGTAAAAGGGGAGGGGTTTACCATAGCCCTGAGATTGCTGGGAAGTGTAGTACATACAGTGATGGGGATTTTTTTTTTTTGTATGGAAATTGGAGCCCTCAGCTCCTGAACCTGGGATGCAGCACTGGATTTAGATAACACGCCACTGCTCACTGAACCGTCTCAACTCAAACAAGATATACCAAAGAAGTTCTGGAAAAAATGACAAAGCATCCACTTTTGTCACTGATAAAATACTGCAAATATATACAGTTTATACAGCAGATCATGGGAAGCTCAGCAAAGTCATGTGACCCTTGGCACTTACGAAGTAACATGTATCAGATAATGCAAGGAAGTACAAAAGTAATAAAAGGTGTGCATTTGTGTGATTTTAACTGGATACAGTACAGACATTTTAGCTGTGACTACCCAACACTGTTGGTGTAACTTTAAAAAATACATTATTTTTTTCTGAAGTAACTGCATTTAAAAGTGACAGGAAATACAAAACCAAACAGATATTTTGCTATTGGCTGGTGCATCGGGTGGTCATGAGCTCAAGGCCCCTCCCACAGCGGTTTAGTACCCAGGGTTGTTGCGAATGGCACAGCACAGCACCATGCTGAGGATCATCTCGAAGATCTAGAGATTAAAAGTTAGATGGTTAGACATCAGTCTCAAGTAATAAATCCAGGCCTGGCTAGCAGGTCATATGCCATGCATGACACCATTTAGGGCACCACACCCTGGCCCATAGCCCCGTGCATGGATACTTGCCATAATGACGGCTACCACCAGGGCGGCGATACCAACTAAGTACAGCTTTTCATCGAAGAGTTCCTTCACTTGGCTATGGCAATTCTGGATGCAAAGACAAGTTTCTCAGATATAATAGACAAGGCAGAAGCTTTCTGATTTTGAAAAGGGAGGGAAAAACTTCAGTCATTCATTCATTTTATCAGTACAGCTATATCACCCTGCTGTTTTACCCATTTACTATGCCAGCAGGGTTTCCTGGGTATGAACTCACACTTCCTGCCAGACATCACATATTTCTTCTTTCTGCTATTAACAGATCTCTGACTCAAGGGAGGGAACAAGCAGTAAAAACCCAGAGCAGATGCTCACTGACCTTTGTGAGCTCCAGCTTGCCAGGGGTGGTGAGAGGGCAAAGGTCCGGGGCCAACTGAGTGAAGAGGTTTTTCAGATCCCCCTTCCCACAGCATTCCAGCTGAAAGAGAGGTGTTAGGGAGGATCACTGGACTGATCGCCCAAACATCTGCAGCAACAGCGGGCAGGATGTAATGTCCAGCCAAGCTATGGGGACTCCTGCAGATGGGTTTAGGGGATACTGTACATACAATAAAAGTTTAATCTGCCATTTTGACTAGACATTACATATTGACCACTGTAAAAATTAAAAAGCTATTAAAGCTATTAAAAAGCAAGTTAAGCAACACGGGCTATGAATCTCTCTAAAATCTATGCAATCTGTTATATCAGGTCTGTTTGGTGATTATTTTCTGGGGGGAGGGACGCAAATGCAACCTTGCAATGTTGGCAGTGGCCATTTTTAATGATTATTTTCATGTCCTATGAAAGATATAATAGACTTTCAAGATTTTACCTTTTTATTTTTTTGAAAATACACAAATCAGCAGAACCAGTGCATTGTTCATGATTAACTATTATGATGGAATATATCATGATTATTTGTTATTATTTCAAATAAAAACTTCATAGATATAAACAAAATGTATTATTATTATTATTATTATTAGAATAAAAGTATTCTTCTTATTACTTTGCCAATTGCATGGGCAAGTAAGAACCGGCCATCTTTTTCCTGAGTCTGTGCTGCACTGCATTTCAGCTGCCAGTTTACTTGGAGACCTTTCACTGCCTCGTGTGTGATCAGTGACCAGTGACCAGTGACCTACCGTCTCATGGAAGACTTTCAACACAGTGGAGGCAGCCTGGTTCTTATTGTTGCTCATGATGTTTTGGTCGTAAGCGGTGTCATAGAAGGTGATGAGCTCCTTGGCGATCTGAGCGGGACAGTAGGGAGGAGAGACCGTGCATCAGCTGACTGTCTGTCACATGACCTACTGTGACCTTCTCGAAAAAGGTGACGAGCTCTCTGTTGCTCACCGTCTCACGATTCATGTAGCCCCAGATCCCGGCGGCCACCTCACATGCAAACAGGATCACTAAACAGGTGAAGAACTGAAAGAGCGAGAGGGGATGGTGACGACATGGGACAGAGACAGGGGACAGGGAGGACGAGGGACAAACGCTCAGGAGAGACTGAATCTGAGCTACATCAAAGGTATAGCATACAAGGGGCTCATTACGGCACAAAAGCTTCGATGACTCTTTACTCAAGGCCATATTTTTAGTTATTTTAGTAAGGACTTCTAGGAGCTAGAGTACAAGCTGAATGCTATGAATTAACATTCATAATGCATTGCAATGCATTGGTGACGCATTATAAACATGGCTACAAATATTTATAAAAAGGCATAACACATTATATCCATATTTATTATGCATTATGAAAGCTCCATGAACCTCTCATCCATAATGCACTATAGATACCTTTATAATGCAGTACAAAGCATCGTTAATGCTTATACCGACCATTATAATGCGTTATAAAGGTATCTATAGTGCTATCTAGTTATAGCCATATTTATAATGCTTTGTGAATGCATTATTATTTGTAATCAATGTGTTTATAAATGACTAAAAGCATAGCCTTAAGTGTTACCAATGCTAATAATTATATGTTAATAATACTTATAATCAAACAGTAATAATAATAATAATAATAATAATAATAAACAGTAATAATACTTCTAATCAGTTATGGTCTGGCTCAGGCAAAACTGAACTTGAGCTATGTCAACAGTACAGTACATGCCTCACCGTTCCCAGAAGGCACTGCGATTCCTGAATGGCACCGTAACAACCGAGGAAGCCCACGAACATCATGACAGCACCCACAGAGATCAGGATGTAGATGCCTGTAAATGAAAGGGTCGTCTGAGAAACAGGGTCACATGATCCAGCTCCCCACTCCCATTAAAATCCCACAACCTTCAAGATTTTGTAGTCAAAAGAGACTTATTTTTTTACTGGAAGGGTAAAATAGAATTTTATGCAATAATCAGCATCTGCCACTAGATGGCGATGAAAAAAAGAGTCATCTTGCTAACATATGTATGAATTCAAAACTACGGAAATTGCTGCCCCTCCAAGCAGTCTGGTGCCTCCTCCAGGCTTTCTTCATATATCCCTTGACCCCCTGGTATTCCTCTTGCTAATTCATTATTTCTCTCACCTCTGCTGCCAGGAGACCCCATCTTTATCTACACAATGGTTCTTCTGTGTTCCACACACTACTGTATATACACTCTGCCTCCAGCTACACGGACAGAAGCCCATAAATATCCACAGCTCTTAACAGTAATAGGTAAGAATGAGAGCGAGTGGGGGCTTAAAACACCGGCAAGGTGAGCTACACAACAGACTAACACCCCACTAAACACGACATTAAACTAGTTAGGGTTTTTATCTAAAGAGACATTAATTTTGAAGAATGTAGGGTCAGCTAGTCACTGGAATAACTGGCGATAAGAAGCCATTGGTGAAATCATTCTGCTGATCCTGGGATTTGAACCAACAACATCATGTTCACAGTCACAGCACCCTGTGGGTGAGATGATCCACAAGCCAGTCAGGTCTGGCATCAGGAAACAGCTTTGAACTCAGATTCCTGTCAAAAAAGAACCGTCCATCCATCCATCCATCCATCCATCTTCTTTATGAGGATGGGGTATAGCTTGGATGGGATGCCAGTCCATCGCAGGGCATGGGCCCACGCCTACACCCACCCACCCACACAGACACACACACACACACACACACACACACACACACAGACACACACACACCGTCCATTCATTTCTATGGGCAAAACCCTAAACCTAACAGTGACAACCTTAACCCCTACCCAGCCCTAACCTTAAACATAAGTAACCAAACAAAATACAGGACTATTGGCATGTTTAGTTTTTTGATTGCAGTCATAAAGTTTTATCGAAATGAGTTTCACCTTGTGGGGCCTGAAAAGGTGATCCCCAGGCGGTCAAAATAACATTTTTTTTATCACATTGTGGGGCCATTTGGGCCATACAATGTAATATATACATAACCTACACACACGTGGGCTACACACAATTTGGAGACACCAGCTAACCAAACCACATGTCTTTGGCCTTCAGGAGGAAACAAGCATAAGATGGGAAGGGCACGCAAACGGAGGGAGGGGGGGATCAGTGTGTCAGATGACCATCCCCAGCCCCCTGCCCCAGCCCTAGGCCACCATCTCCTGGAGTCAGGGGTCAGGGCCTGCAGGGGGCGCCCTCCAAACCAAATAGGAGTGTCTGCGTAGGAACGCAAAAATGGGCCACTTCCAGGGACTGAGGCAGATTGCTTCCCCACCGAATCTAAAGCCATCACCATGGTGACCGAAGGCCAGGCTCATCCTGCAGATGCTAAACATAAACAGATGAGGCTGCAGCTCCGGCTCCCGTCCCGGAATGCACAAGAAGAGGGCTGAAGAGGGCCAGCATGATGCAGGCTGTGTGTGTGTGTGGGGGGGGGGGGGGGGGTTCCATTTTGATTTTTCAAACAACAACCTGGCCTCAGCTTGTACTCTACCTCCTCGAAGGCCTAAGAAAAGCTCCACAGGGGTCACTGAATACTCACACGCAGGAGGGCACACGAGTGACAGATAGGAAAAACAGGTGTCGGGTGAGGCCAGTAAATAGAGGGGACGAGTGTAACGCTAAAGGCTCACTGAATACTCACTAAAGGCTCACTGAATACTCACTAAACACTCACTGAATACTTACTAAAGGCTCACTGAATACTCACTAAATGCTGACTGAATACTCACTAAAGGCTCACTGAATACTCACTAAACACACTGAATACTCACTAAAGGCTCACTGAATACTCACTAAATGCTCACTGAATACTCACTAAAGGCTCACTGAATGTTCAGTAAAGGAACACTGAATGCTCACTTGCTGAATGCTCACTAAAAGAACCAGTTGAAGCTCCCCCCCTTATTGAATGGGGATTATTTCTTTATATATTTGTATTGCCTCCTGTTTCTTACGCATTAGCTCTCATCAATGTCAGGTTTGTCACCTGACTGAATCTTCCCTGATTTCACTGGCCTTCTCTGCTTCTTCTGTATGCTGTCCTTCACTCTCACTCTTTCTACTTTCTATCGAGCATAAACAAGTTCCTGCCACCTTCAGCGGCAGCAGCAAACGTTTGGTCCTGCGTAGCATCTGCTGACCTACGTTCCCATGGTAAGACTGAGGTTTACTGGTATTTATGGAAAGTGCCGCCCTTTGGCTTCAATCTGGCAGGAGCAGATTCATTTTAAAACCTAAAAAAGTCCATTTTAGCTGGGTGGCACACTCACGAAAACCACTTGAAACAGAAAGTAATGAAGGGCTGCCGTCTGCTGCCTCTACTTAGCCAGGGCGTGAGGCAGATGCGTGATGAGTAACCTCAGCTATAACGGGCCACAGAGTCTATATTTGATACGCCTGGGTGTTTACTTTAAAAAATACCAGCCCAGTACGTTTCCCAGCATCCTGAAAGTTTGCTGTGGCATTGAATATCTTGCTCACGCTGACATGTACACTCGCTGCAAGTGACCTCTAACGTCACATGGTTATCAAACCAAACAAATGCTGGTCTCGGGGTCATGCACACCTCATCGGGGTGTCCCCTGTGGGGAGGAGGGGGGGGCTCGGGGTCCACCCCAAGTTCCAAGTTCCCAGAGGGACATAATGGACAGAGTTTGTCTTCTGAGTGATGATGTTAATAGACAATTGAAGAGAAAATTTCCAAAACTCATTTCTCGTCGTTTTGAGATGAGACTGCCAATGACTTAATGTCAGGCTCCCACATCATATGTCACAGTATTGGAGACAAAAACTCACTCATGTAACCCAATGAAGAACTACTGTCAAATTTCCAAAAATATATCTGCTCTTCAGTTGCAGTGATCCTTGTTTTCCAGTGATTGTAGGGGTACAATCGCATTGTCACATTTTACTGCTGCTGTAAGGCTGTGTGTCTCTGAAGCAGCAGCTTCTTCACACAAAAGCAAACTGTCATTCAGCTGCTCTTTTACAGACCCGTGTAGTGTGTAAAAAAAAAAAGATTGTTGCATTCCTTAGTGGTACTTCAGTGCTAGAAAACTCTTTTGCAGTAACTATCAGGAGTTTAGTGTCTTTAGAAGTGGATCTTATGTTAGTTGGCTAAGTAGCATCTGTTCCATTTATCCCATTGACATTTGCTCCATTTTATGCTGGATATATAATTTTAGTGAACACAAGGAAATGGTCTTCTTGTTATGTTGTTGAGGTACTGTGACCCAGAGCAGAAGGTGATGGGGGCCTAGACACAGGCTGCAGAACAGGCTACATAATATTTGCATCCATCCATCCATCCATCCATCCATCCATCCATCCATACATCCATACATCTTCTAACCACTTATCCTGGTCAGGGAAGTGGGCCATTGTTTCTTTAAAATATTTAAGTAATCTGACATCACCTTATTTTCCTGCAGACCAGCTTGGAGGATGAACGGCAACATACTTGCATTCCTGCTTATACTGCATACGGCCTGTTGTTAGGAAGGCGAGGGAGACACAGAGGGGCTGTACAAGAGCTGCTAAAAACAGAGGCTGCAAGCCGGAAGCAGGAAACGTCTACAGGGTGCTATGACAAGAAAAGGAAACTACTGTATTACTGTATGCCAGCGAATTTTTTAATTACATGTCAGAGATGGAAAATAGAAGCCAATGCATTCATTTCATTTCCATCCACAGGGACATTCTGTTTCAATGATTCAATGAATCATTTTTACAGAGTGCCATGGAATATTTTCCTTTAATAATAATGGACTTCAAGCAAAAACTGTGGTAACTAAGCATGGAAACAAACACTAGTAGATGTAACCAAAACAGTGGGCATGGTTTACAGGTCACACAGCAACGCAGATGGCAGATTTGCAGGTTGTCTGCTATGTTGTTGGTTATAACGGTGCAGCTAGCCAGGTATCTCAGCCCTGTGTAGGAGCGCCGTACCACAGTCTGTGTGTGACTACGGCACATCAAATTTGCAACAGTACTATGCAGAATCACTCAGGTACCCCTTAAAATGATTTAATCTATCTTGATGATCTCTGAGATCTCTAAAAGCTTGCTTGACTAGGAATGTTTCGGAATAGACATAGTTGCTCTGGCCCAACTATGTCTTCCCTAAGCCCCGTTATTTTTTTTATGGTGTGATTTTACGGGGTGCGAGGCTTTATGGGACCTGCAACTGTAAGGGACAGCACTGACCTCCGTGGTCACCCGTGGTCACTCGCAGCACTGACCTCCGTGGTCACCCGCAGCACTGACCTCCGTGGTCACCCGCAGCACTGACCTCCGTGGTCACTCGCAGGACCCACTGGGGTATGACCACTGTTTCAAACCCCAAGACACAGGGGCCTGGGACCCCGCTGAGCTGCGTCAGCCCCCCCATAGGGGGTGGGGGGCACAGGAATGACACTGACATGACTCTGTCATTGTTCTGCTGCTTAGATAGACTGCAGAGGCCTCAGTCCCCCCAGCCTGAAACTGCGTTGGCCTCCTGGCATTTCCTGAGAAGCTGCATTCATTCCCATTCCGGCCTTTTGTCACACTACAGTAGCTGGGGGGGAGGGGGGCAGCTGAGGGTCAATAACAGACATTTCCTCTCTTTCACAAACAACCTGCAGCCCCCCTCCCCCCCATTGGCTAGGGTTACGGGACTATTTAGGGAGTGTAGGTGTGTGGTCTTTCTGGCACACTGATGGCACACGAGATGGACACTGATAACAGAGACCAATTGTCTGTACTGGGGGGGAGAGTAGGAAGGAAACTACTGATGACTCCCTACCTCACCCAGCCACCCCCCCACCCCCCCACCCCATGAATAATGACTGCTGCTAGACTGACTGATGTGTGATACTTTGCCTCATATACACACAAATACACACACTATAAGATACATATATAATACGTTACACGTACATGTATATATATATATACTACTGTTCCAACGTCTTAGGCCAGAGGTCTCAAACTCCAGTCCTGGGGAGCCGGAGCCCTACACGGTTTTTGGTTCACCCTTATTTAACACACCTGATTCAACTCCTTATGCTAATTACCACACAGCTCTTCAGCTGAATCATTTGTGGTGGAAAAGAGAAAGAACTAAACTACACAGGGCTGCAGCCCTTGAGGACTGGAGTGTTAGACCCCTGTCTTAGGCAGTCAAAGAAAACGATGTTTAATGATCTTCATGTTGGTGTGAAACTATGATATTTTGCCTGTCAAAGTGTGTCAGCTTTTCGAATCATTTCAAATCTTCTGCTAAAATTGCAGCTACCATCCAAAACACACGTGCATTTTTTGGCTCAACCATTAGCATACCCATATCAGTAATCAGCATCTCATTTACTTTTTAAACTAAATTAATTAATTAATTTAATTAATTACGTGAGCTGGTGGTGAAATTTGACAGATACACAGAATGGCTGAGTTGTCCCTGAGGAGAAGTTTGGGGGGTGATTATCTGATCCTTCAACTAGATATCAGTAACTTTTTGGAGAACAGAGGAAATTCTTGATCATTTTTCTTGTTAATTTGCATGTGTTATAAAGTTAAATTCTGTTTTTTGTTCTGAGCAAATATACATTTACTACACAAATACATAGCTTTCATTTGCTTTGCCTAAGATTTTTCCACAGTACTTTATAAATGTCAAAAAGTTATGTATTGATAACTGAGTGTAATATACACATACAGTATATGGCTCATTCTTACGAACCCATAAAATCAGATGTCCAAGCCCAACAAATGGAAAAAATTATGAAAAATCGTATAATTTTTATGATCATTGGTTAGACTGTGAAGTCTATTAAGTGATTTTCTACTCTTTGCACAAATTTTAAAGCATTCTTGCTGAAAATGCCATCACTGTAACATGCCAGTGTGATTATTTTACTGCACTGAATGAGTATAATTTTAAACAAACCAGAGCTGTCCTGTAGTCTGGAGCAGAAGGGTGTGATGACCTATCAGCAGCACCCTCCGCCCTGGACCACCCCCCTCCCCCCACCAGACGCTCATAGCTGAAGATGCAGGCAGCCTTTCACTGTCCAAACGCCCCCATTCTTTCTCACCCTCCGCCCATCTGTAGATGCATTCTGACTGTTTACATCCTGCCAGCATCTCAGACGCATCGCTACTCTCTCTGTCTTCATCTCATGGAGGCCCGTCTATTCAAAGGAGCCCAATAAAATTCACCCTTTGGTGAATGCTGGAATAAAACTCCTAATGTACCTATATACAGTGCATATGATTCTTTGAAGCCCTCACTACTCATGTGTAAATTTGAACACTGCAAAGACGCATCTGCAGTGCAGAGCTCTGTGACCCAAGAACCCTGCAGTCTGCGGTCGAGGAGTTCTGGGACCTTCTCAGATGTTCTGGGCTGTCAGCTTGTGGTAGAGGGAGGAGGCAGCAGCCAGCTGGTATCAGGCCAGGCTGGTGAGCTTCCCTCCGCCCCGGTGCATCTGGGATGTAGGTTCCCATAACCAATGCACATGGGCCGTTTACTATGCCGGGTTTGGGAGCACAGGGATAACTGGGAGAGATGCCAAAAGAACACCAATAAAATAAAGAATGTAAAGCTTTGGTAAACAACTGGACGTTAAGGTGTCTCTTCAGAGAAACGGGAGAAAATACCCTGAACGGGCTAGGAGGTGTCCATGGGGACTAGACCACAAGCACTGTCTTTGTATACTGAAAGGAAAGGGTTAAAAAGGCAACTGCCTTCCCTGTAGCTGTGAGCAGTCTGCCGATGTGACCCCAGGAAGGTGGGTCACATGATCCGGATGTAGTCCCCCCCCCCCCCACAAACCCCTGGTCATCGGGGGGGTCACACATCCCCCTTCCTTACTTATTTACTTACCAGACAACTTTCCAGGCTGTAAACAGACACATAAAAGTCCTCAGGCGGCGATTGCCTGCACAGCCTTTCAGTCTCTTTAAGAGCTGAGTAATAGTTTCAGGCAATCGTTTTTCTTAGCATTTAAACACAAAATGAACAGGATAAAACAAGAAGAGCATTTTTCCTTAATGGTTTCCAAAACGATAAAGAATGTACCCCTGCCCCGATCGTCCGCTCCTTCCATGTGTGCCACGTTCCCTCATTAACCTCGTGTGGAATCCCCGTCTGATCAGCTGTTTCTGGTTGTTGTCATTAGTCCTCTGTATTTAGTCCGCGTTTCAGTTTGTTTCCCCAGTCCGGTCATTGTAACGTCATTGTGTTGTTCTGCCTGTTCTCAATTAAACCCCGTGTTTCCCGATTGCTTGAGTCCTGTCCCTGCTTCCCCGGTCCCGGCTCGGTAGATCGTGACAACCCAAAGCCATACCCCAACACTGCGCCAACACTAGACTATGCCATGCGGTCCATTGTTTATTTTTATTATTAATCTGAATTTGTTAATTTGTTCGCAAATCGCAAATTGCGTAACATTTCGGTGAGCAATGGCTACCAAAATGATATAAAGTACAGTGTATTACCTGATACAGTATTTTCAATAAAAAATGCTGTATCAACAAACGATGCTATCACAGCGAATGCGAGGCGGAGACTGAAGCGTTACCCTTTGTTTCCGCTGAGAGACGTGCCGCTTGACTCATTTCCCCGTGTGCACAAGTTATCTTATCTTATCACGGTTCGACTTCTGAGATTCAGATCAAGTTCTAGGTCATTTTTTTTCGAACTGGTTGGTTCGACTTTTAAGAAATTTGAGTTCTAATGAGTTCGAGAACTGAGGTACCACTGTATAAAAAAAGTCAAAAAGTTAGGTTGGAGATGACGTCGATAGTTTACAGAAAGGTGTTGTCATGGCGATAAGGCCGGAAGCGGTTGTTTACTTATGTAGAAGGTGCTGGGCGCCTGCTGGTCTCCGAGCTGCAGCATCAGGAGTTTGCTGGTCTGGTTGTCATGTCGAAGCCAGAGCGCCACGCCCAGGATGAGGCCACCCGCCAGCTTCCAGAAAGATAGAGAAGAATGTATAAAAGAGTTAGTGGCCGAGTATCCACATGCCATGGGCTACACCACGGGGCTACGTCACATCACCATCTGAAGCCAACTGTCTGGTCATGTGACCAAAGCAGCAGTAAAGACTGGCCCATAAAAACAGCCCCAGCCGAAACACTCAACAACAAAGGAATATCAGTCTACACGTTTGGACTTTCCATGAATATGACACATGATGTTTTTATTGAGTCTATTTTAAGGCAAAGCCCATTATCTGTGCACAGTTTCTCAAATGTAGTGTCTCCCCTGTAAATATTCACTCTATTCAATTTAATTTATCCGGAAAGGGGGGATTTCTAAAAGCTCTGGACCTTATCCAACCACTAATTTCCATATGACATGTGCTCTTGAGTCAGTTTAGGTTCCCTAAAATTGCATATAACTTATATTTTCACGATTCAGGATTCTCCAAATGGATTTTCATCCGTCATATATATTTCTCAAGGAACGAGTTTCTGAAGAGGTCTGCTGCCATTGTACGTTTAGAAACAAATTTCAAAATGGTTCCCTTGAAAAACAAAATGGTCTAAAGCAGGGTTTGGGTGTCTGAAATCAAAGCAGACTTCCCTTCTTGGGGAAAAAAACCTCAAAGGAAAGCTGATTATTAGCCACAACAGCGATCCCTACCAGAGATCACGATGAAATGGACGTGCGTTAGGCAGCAAACCAGAGTGGCGTCAGGCAGTGAGTAATGTAAACATTCGGGCCCCCGGTGAGAAGTAACCTTTGGCTTTTACTCGGCTGTTACTGCACAGCAAGGCATGATCTGCAGGAGCAACATCCACCGCCAAGCTGTCTGGAAAGTGGGGGCTGTCTAAATCTGTAAGGAGACCCGTAAAAGAAGGCGGGAAAAATTAAACCGAATCTAGATATGGGTCTTAGACTTGTGAGCGACGTATAGCGCGGTCCTTGTGAATTACGACACTGCCTTCGTTGCCATGGGGACACGGTCTTTGCTCTGACCCCGTCACGCTCTCCCTGAGACACACGTACAGGTGACAGTCAGCTTAGGCAGTCACAGTGTAGGCACAGTCAGCGTCCCTGAAGCAACCAAGACCGTGCTCAAGAAACCAAGAGCGACATCCCTCTGGCAGCAGCAGGCACACAGTCCCAACCAGCTGGGCCACAAACACAGATGTTTCCTCTCGTGTTGAGGATCCAGGCACAGGGGCCACTGAAGGACAGGAAGTCTGACAACGAGGAGGAAGGCTGAGAGTCGAGGAAGACTCCCACCTTGTTTCAGGCTCTGTAGCTTACCTGCTCATACATTTTATACCTACATACACAACACTAAACAAAGTTACGCATAATTTTATTACTCAGTAGGAAATTCTGGGCCGTTACCATCCGTGAGAATTTACGTATTTACATCACCGTGTTCCACATGGCAGAAGAAAGGCATGCATGTAAAACAAGCTTTGCAGAAATCCGTAATTATTCCCATCACTTAATTAACTTAGCCTCAGCACAAGGTGATGAGTCTCTGCTCATTTTCATTTAGCAATATTAGTCATGGTACAACTGGTTTCTTGGGAAATTAATATAGGAGAAATGTCAGTGATAACGTCACACGGTGCCACCGTGTTTCAGTCCGATTCACATTCCAACTGCTTATTCAGATGATTAAATGGCATGAGGGCTTTATTTGTCATTTGTATAAGTAGAGGTACATATTCACATACCCCACCTTACTCTCCTTGGGTCCCCGAGTGCAGACTGAATCAACTGAATCAGCATTTTCCGGGGGCTTAACGACCTCGCTCAGAGGCCCAGTTGGGCTTCTGATCACAGACACAGTGGTCTAACCAGTACAGGGTCACAGTTTATTCCAGTAAAATATACTGGATTTTTATAGCTATATGTAAAACACACAGTTTACTGCCCTGTAGTTTCCTGCTGCTGTCCTGTATCAGTATGGAATGAAACAAGATTTAAGTCGTTTAAAAACATTTCATATGATTAATGCTGCACCTGTATTACATTCAGTACACTGACACCTACTGTACAGTGCTCACTGAAAGTCTTGGGGCACTTGCTTAATTCAGTAATAATGTTGCAAATTTACTGATTTCATAACAAAAGTCAATTGACAAGCAGTGTTTAATGCATCTGCACATATCTAATACACAGACATTTTCTTGTTATTAAATGTCATAATTTTAAGACTGACTCCATTCAGTTCTGTTCTTAACTTGTTGCTATTAATTGCAATTGTAGTCCTTGCCTCCCAAAGAGATACTAATCACAAATGTTTGGTGTTTTATGTTATTGTAAAGGTGTTACTAATTAAAAAAACACCCAATAAGACTGCTGGTCAATTAACTTTTTAACTTAGAACAGCAATTTGGATTTCAATTTATTAGTTCTTGAAATTAATATTTTACTGAGCTATTAGTTAAGTTCTCTCCAAACGAGCTTGATGGGCCTCCTCTCGTTTGTAAATTTCTTATGTTCTCATGTTCTAAGACTTCCGTTTGTTTCTAATGTGACATATATTTTTTGTAAATGAACCAAGTAAAGATTTTTATTAAAAAAAAAAAAAACATCAATTTGCAATATTTTTACTGAAAGCATCCTAAAACTTTCTGTGAGCACTGTACACAGGACAGGTTTCCAGATTGACTTAACATTTTATTTAGCCTCTATAACAAAGATACATAATATAATCAATACAGTCAGCCAGTGTAATGCATTTTTTAACCACCGGGCCTAACTTATTACTGCCATTGCCTTTAAAGGGCTTTCCTTAATAATCTGTTCATCATCTGTAAACAGCAAATCAGTCTGCATGGTACTTTCTCAGTGGGATACATTGTTTTGTATCTGGTACTATCAGGAGATTCGATCCTGTCTGCGAGCCTGGATTTCTGTGCCTTTCTCACTCGGTTTGGGAATCACACGTTTGTCTGGCGGTGGGTTAGAATGCTGTGTCTAAGATAGGAAGGTCACTGGTTCAAATCCTTTGGTTGGCAGTGTGATGTTGCCATTGGGCCCTTGGGCAAGAGATCCCCTGACTATGATGTTACCTGTTAAAAAGGTATATTGCTTTAGATAAAAATATCTGCCAAGATAAAAATGTAACTGTCTAGAGAGAAATAATAGGCTGTTTTTCACAGACTCATGGTTAGAGCAAAATACATTTGAATAAGACGGAAAAATCTTCACCCCCCCCATAATATTCTTTTTTCATATATTTGGTTTTCAGCATCTGTCAGGCTCGCGTGACTAACAGTGAAATGTGCAGTTTCATCATCTGGCTTCACAGAGAGTCGGATCCAAGTCCGCGTGTGACGTCTCAGCCGGTCGACACGTCGCGCCTCTACTTTCCAAGGATCACCACTGCATTCCTCTTTCTTTTACCAATCTCTGGCAGCAACATCCCATCATAAACACACCCTACATGCAGCGGTTGATGCTGCAGTCCCAAAGCCGGTGCTTCTGTTATGCGAACACATGTTGTTCCGGCATGAGACCACATGCTACTGAAAAACCCAGTCACCTCAGAGGCCCCCGAAGACCCAGTGATCCATGTTTTAAGAGCAGCACTGGCAGAGAGAGTCACACAGAGGGTATATAGAGGGTACAGTATAGAAACTCTAATATACCGGGACAAGATCGGCTGTCACGGGTTGTGGGGGGGGGGGGGGGTGCCTTTTTGGGAGGTGGGGCCAGTCTGCCCTGCTGCTGCTGAACAGATGTTTCAAAACCTCACCCTTTGGCTGTGACTGTATTTGTCTGGTTACTGAGCAACCAGTTTTCTTAGTATCAGAGCAGGCTGGAAGGGAGGTTACCACGGCGACCGACGCCAAGGAGACAGCAGCACAGGAGGCTGCTGGGGGAGGCCACTGTCTGGGGGTGCCACAGAGTGCAGTGGTGTGTGTATGTCACTGTGTGTCCTCTGCCTATACCCGTCTGCGTTTTCACCCTAGCCCCCACCCTGCCCCGTTCTCACAGGTCCCGAATGGGGCAGGTTTCACTGCTTTATGTGAAGTCCGTACCAACCAGCAGCCACACCTGACCTTACATTTACTCTACATTTATTCAGCAGGCGTTCTGTCCAAAGCAACATAAAGTTCTTTACAAGCATAATAAAATGTAAGCAGAGGTTACATAGTACAATCCTCAAAGTACATGGTGAATCTGCTTTGCCTTATTCTGGTTTTAAGGTTATTCTTTAATAGACAGTTTAGTAAGCTCACTATGCAGGTGTCCACTGGAACTCTCACACATTTTGCTAGCTATACTTTTGCTTAACATTACGATTGTTTTATGATGACTACGTTTAAATGTGCTATATACCACAAAAACATTTTCCGTATGGCAACAATCAGCTTGCTCACAACAGGCCCCGCCCCAAACAGGCAGCACATCCTTCTCTGACGTGACAATCAATTCGCAACAAGTGGTTATAAATAGCTGAGGGTAAGGCCGGTAGCTGTCCAAGCAGCTGATTGGCTAACTCAGTCACATGGGGTTCAGAGGAAGCACGTGTGCTTTAACCCGCAACCTGCACGGTGGAGAACATGCAGGAGTTGCTAGCTCACAGCGCAATCAGCCAAAGAAAAATCTACCATACTTCCTCTGGCAGCAGGAACACTTTAAGGCACCTGCAGCGTGTCTTAGGGATCCAGCTTATTAGGGTGGGACGCCACTGGAACAGAACACTAAATAGAACCAGGTGCCCCGGGAGCAGGGCAAGGGGGGACAGAGGAGGATTTATAGGGAAAAAGGAAGGGGGCTGGTCTGGGATTGACCAAACCCAGGAAGAAGATATGTCAAATAAGAGGGAAAAATACATCCAAACCAGAGATATGGGTCTTGCAGATGGTGTGTGAACTTCAGCTTATATGGGGGAGGGGTGGAAAGAAGGGGGAATCAACCACGTTTTACCAAGACCAGGAATGGGAGGGGCAGAGCTACAGACAGCCACCTGACTTTCCCTCATGAATTGGGTCTCCCTCTCCCCCAATCCACACAGTCACCAAACTCATCTCAAGCAGAATAGCCGTGTTTTAAAACTGCGTATAAATTCACAGGACTCTGACACCGAAATATTAGCAAGCTTCATGTCTTCGGACTTTACCTATTTTTGCTCTGTAGAGTGAAAAATGACACGCAGCCACTCTGGCATGTAAACAAAGAGCTGGCTTGGCTGCGTCTGACACCTTTATAAACATCTCGAAATGTCCAAGTTCAAAAGGCAAATCCAAGGCAGGGCGGGTGGAGGGAGGCTGAAGGACATCAAGGCCAAAGCCAACAAGCACTGCTTCCTCCAAATCACCCTGCTTGCACTCCAGGCAGAGAGAGTGGGGGTCTTATTCTTTAATACACAGTTATTGTTTTAGTAAACTCACTATATGGGTGCCCACTAAAACTCACACACTCAAACTACCTGTACTTTTGCTTAACATTAAGCTTGTTTCATGATATTTCTAACTATATTTAAATGTTCTATACTTCTCACCAAAATGCTATTTATGGGTTAATTTCAGATTGGGTACCTCACTCAACACATAATTTTCTGGGATATGACCTGGCAACACTGTGGTCCATGTGATTCTCATCCACCCTCAGAGCCTTACCACTCTGGAGTTTTTCCAGTATCTCAATGACCTCAGCCCTAGTCACGGAGGAGGTCCTCCTCCAATGTCCACCAACTCAACTTCCTCCCAGGAAGGCGTGTCAGCGAGATTCAGGAGGCCAGGAAGTGCTCCTTCCACCGTCCAACTATTTTCCCTGTTGAGGTCAACAACACTCCATCCCTGCTGTGAGCAGCATGAGTAAAGATCTACTCCCCCTCCTGAGTAGCTTGATGGTTTGTCAGAACGTCTTCGAAGCCGACCAAAAGTTATATTCCATGGCCTTACTGAACTCCTACAACTGAGTGTTTGCTTCCGCAACTGCCAACTCCGGTACCTGTCAGCCACCTCCAGAGTCCCACAAACTAACCAAGCCCCTAAGGCCTCCATCTTCAGTCTCCCTTTACTGCTGGTGTCCAACACCGGGATCGGGGATTGCCACCATGACAGGCACCAACAACCTTATAGCCAGGGCGCCACACAGCTGGCTCAGCAACAGAGGCACGGAACATTGCCCATTCAGGCTCAATGTCTCCAGGCTCACTCAGAATGTAAGAGAAGTTTTGCTGGAGACATGCGTTAAAGATCTCAGATGCTCCCAACTCAAATTAGATGACAGATAGGATGGGTATCCATGGGCAAGGAGGAAGGAATCAGACCCAAAGTCCTTAAAGCTTCTGTGCTCCAGCAGTGGTTCTAAAACATGTTTAAATTGTCCCTAAGAGCACAAAAGGTTTCCCCCAGAAAACGCTATGAACAGTCTCTGTTCCTGAAACCCAGTGGCACTGCAGCCCCTATAATGAAGACGCAATGGGAGGTGGTCCTACAGTAACTCAGAGTAATGAAGGACTTCCTGGACTTACTACAGTTTGAACGTTCTGGTATGATATAGCAGAGTCATTATCTACAAGAATGAGCAGATTGGGCTGCTAGGTGAGTAAGGAGATGCAAACAGCATGATCATAGCAACTTCACTGCCTTTCTTTTAATGGGGCACAGAGGTTCCTGATCCTCAGCAGGAGTTAACGTTTTCTCATCAAGCGCGGCTTCCATTGCGACTCGGCAATTGCAACTACAGTGTAACTCCTTTGTAGATAAATATTCATTTGTTTGTTTTGGCTTTTAGGTTTTTGTTTTTATTGTCTTTTAAATGTGATTGTATTGTGTTCTATTTTTCATATGACCCTATTGCCTTTGTAAAGCACTTTGAATTGCCTTACATCTGAATTGTGCTGTATAAACTTGCCTTGGAACTCTGAAATGATCTAGGGGAGACTAACCTAAAATTTCATTTCAGGCTGGGAACATACAAATCAAAAAATTGCTGATCATTTAAAAAAATTATCTGGGCAGGTTGGGATTACAGGTCTATATACCTAAACTCCATTTCCCAATCCCATTCACAGAAGAGCCCAAATTATTTGAATCAGCATGAATGAAAGAGATGATGAAGAAAGTAGATTTCCGATGACCTGCTTCCCTTTTCCGAGATTTATGGGCTTCTGTCCACTAGTGAACATGATGTTCAGGGCCCTAGAGCATAATCTTCTCCACACATTGATCAATGAAGTCTCTCATGAGGAACCAATCACTGTTCTCAGATGCAGGTCAGGTGTTTGCAAAATACACACAGCTGAGAGCTTGAGGACAAAATGAAGTAAATGGCCAGAGCAGACAAGAAACCAGTAATCATTAAAACATCCAGGCAACCTGAAAGGTCTAGGCAACGGAGACCAGAAAGTCTAACCATACATCCATGTGCAGGGGCAGGTTTGCTGTTTTTGGGGCCCCCTCAGATATTTTAAAAACTAAATAATTAGTGAGCAGACTCCGAAGATCATAGCTACAGTAGCTAACTGGTTAGCAGAGCATGCTACTTCAGAACTTCGCAAATAAGGAACGTGTTCATATGTTAAATCAATGTAGTGCCTGTTTGTAGTCAACAGGTGGGGCCCCAAGCCTCAGGGGCCCCACACAAATGTGCGGTTTGAGTAGCGATATACACTGCCTCTGGTCTTCAGGAGCAAATGCAGGTCCTGGTTAGTGATGCATTCAACTACAGCTCTGCAGCCGATCAAAGAGCAAACCCAACCGAATCTAAACAGTCCCCATGCAGATGTGAAACTGTTTATAATGAACCAGTTCCCAGTGTTCCCAGCTATCATGCCCTTCAGAGCGTCGACTGGAAAGCTAAAAATATTTGGTTACTTGAGGTAATGGATAAGGCAGTTACAGGGAACTCTGTCTACGGCGCCAGTGAAAACCACAGAAACGCAGCAAAAGCGCAGAGACCCTGCGCTGAAGCGCCATCCAGAGGCCGTGTGCCCAGTTAGCAGGAAAGCAGTGTGCAATGCCTGCCCTGTAGGGGGCGATACCCCTCATCTCAGCATGCAGCTGCCTATGGGCATGGCCAGTCCAACATAATCTATTACAACACAGACCAGCCATAAAAACACACTCACGCCTTTGGAAAGACCACCCGACATTGGAGTATCTCACAGAGATAAGCAGCACTGCATATCAAGGCATCCTTTAACCTCCAGTATCTCTTTTGAGTATTGTATCCAGGGAATGTTTTACTTTGGTACATTTTTACAGCAGGATTTTGAAAATCACATTCAAGACCTCAATAAACCTGCTCACTCTTTCATAAGGCAGTCGGGGAAGACAGGAGGGGTGGGTGCAGGGGGCTATATGCGTTTCGTTGTCCTGTGACTCGATATTTTTCATCTTTTCACCCCACTCAAATTCCCCTTTTCCTTTGAATTCTGGAAAGAAAAGTTTCCTCTTGGGTGATGCATTCACCGTAGGTGTAATCAAGAAGTAAGCATTTTAAATTCCTTGGAAATTGGCTAAGCCTGTTGGTGTGTGTGTGTGTGTGTATATATTTACATATAAATATATGTATATATATATATATATATATATATATATATATATTTTTTTTTTTTTTTTTTAAACAAAACACGGTTAGTCACAAGACAAGATGAACGCCACTTAATGGAAACCAGATGCGCACTGGAGCACTATAACAACCCGGGCGAAATTAACCACTGGCATGCTAGCATTGCGTATTGTTTTTTTTTTTTTTGCACACGTAGTAAACCTGCTCTGAATAACCAAGAACTAGAAATGTTAAAATAGCATTGGTATGTCTTACACACGTCTGGGCAGAGAATCTAAGCTATATAGGTTGGCCGTATCACTACATACATCTTACTAATTATGCAACCGAATACTGAAAAAATAACCACAAACGTAGTTGGAGAGTAATATAATAATAAAGGCTTTAATGTGCTCAGTTACGTATACAGTTATATCATGCAGATTTAATAAGACACGATTTGAAATAAAGGTTATTTATTGCTAAATGTAATTGTTAAAATGATTAATACTTAAAACCAGAAAGCTTTCGTCTTGTTTTACCCGAGGAAGCTTCTCAGATCAACTCCTAGTCTACGCGCGTTTTCTGTGAATAAACATCCAGTTTTTAATACCCACATATTATCACATTGGTTCCTATATGAAACTTCACGCACATTTTACGGCCAGACTCTACTAGGAAGTCTTTTCTTTGTTTTCTGCAGCCTAGGAAAATAGTGATAAATGTTTTCCAGACCATTTTCCAGTTTTTTTTCCAGCCATAAACACCACAGCCCTGTCCTGACATTTCATACACTAAAATCGCAGCGAAAGAACTAAAGAAAATCCCACATTTTTATTTATTAAAAAAAACCAATAAAGTAAAGCAGCCTCATTTGTTTGGTATTGGTTTCAACGCCGGTACAAATAAAGAATGACTTATGATGACAGCGTTATAGTTTAAATATGTCTAACTGCTTTATGGTCGTTTTAAAAAGGGTAGAAAACTCAAACGCGCACGGGGTTTGTCTTATTTTAGCCCTTATAGCCTAATATGAAGACGGGGCAGCGTCCGACTGGGGGTCCCTTGGGTACACTGATGCTAATAGATCATCATAACATGCATATTGTGTCAGTTATGGCTAAATACTGAGACATTCCATGCCTATGATGATAACAGTTATATCAATGATATAACAATGAAGTGCGTACAGCAACAGCAGGCGAAAGTTAGGTAGACTTTCCAAGTAAAGTTCTGCTGTTTTTTTTCGTTAGCTTAACTTCACACCTCAACATTACAATTTTCTAAAGCCAATGCAACAAAATGTATTTTGCATTTGTTTACATGTAAACATAAACAGCGCGCGGAAAACGACTCCACGCGCGGTTGGTGAAATTACCACGCATAAAAGCCAGATTATTTAAACGCGTAAGAAGAAGCGACTCACCCAAAAAATGAAATTGAAGAAAAAGAGCATGTACTTGATGCATTTTGTGCAGCCTTGCACCGCCATCGTTGAGGTATCACTGTTGGGAAATGAGCGAAATGCAGAGTAAAAGGGGAGCTCGGCTCGCTTAATGGTGGGACCCGGTTAATGAGCGCAAACGGGCAACACCCAGCCCAAGAAAGCCTGCCCACCGAAAAACGGCTTAACTGCTCTCTGCCTTCCAGACACAACGCACATCCTCCGGCTCCCTGCTACTGACGATAATCTTATCGATGCCAACCAGCCGTTTAACTAATTGATTTATTCCTGTAATCCAGGATGCTGTAAAATATCAGTTGATGGCAATATCCAAACCCAAATACCAATCACGTAGATTTTCGTTTATTATTTGCATGTTACGTGCCTGTTACTTTTCGAAGGTATGAGAGTGTTAAAAATTCCATGTTATGTTTAATGTACTGAACAGTTGTGGAAGCCCGGGTGGGAGTGTTTCTTTGTTTATGGGGGGTGCTGGCTCGAGCCCCCCGATGCCTCCCGCACGTGCAGGAGCCCCTACCCTGTCTGTCACGATGCGTTTCTGCACCATCATCTCGTTTATCTTTGCCTTGACCATGATTCTGAACTTTGGCATAAACACAAAAAATATAAGGTTAGCATGAATAAGTATGACAAACATGCAAAGCTAAACATTCAATGAATTAAGGAGCCTACTTTGAATCTGGGTTTGGGTGATTGACAGCATATGACAAGGAATGGGGTTTTTGTTTCTGGTTGCCCAGTGACAAATCTGCTAATGGAGGCAGTCCCCCCCCATTTTTATTCCCGCCCCACACACCCATCGGCCCACCTGGAAAATGTCCCATATGCCAGTACAGGGGCCCCACTCAAAAAGAAACCTGAACCCTGTGCCCTCCTTCCCAGATGTTTCAAAAACGAAATAATTAGCTAGCAAGTACAATCAGAATATCATAGCTAGCTAGTTAGTTAGCGGAACATGCTGTTTCGGCATGTCCTTAATAAGAAACATATTTATTTAATATATAGTGTAGTGACTGTTTGTGGCCAACAGAGGGTCCCCAAACTTCAGGCGCCTCATGCACATGTGTGGTCTGAGGGTTGGTTGACACCACCCACTCCATGGACTGGACTGGGCATTTGCCAAACCAGGAATTTATTGTGGGGGACACTTGACAAACTTTGTAGCCATGCGGGACCCCAAAATCCAGGGCTGCATTTTAATCCCAGTCCAGCCCTGGCACACTCTGAGATTTAAAGTCTGCTCCCTTTGCAGAGGAACAAGAGACCTCCAGTGGCAGGCTGGTCAAGCGCAAACATGAATGCATTTAGCTGATTTACCAAGCAGACTTGCATGCAAATGCACACATTTTAACACAAACCAGAAAACAGAGACATCAGCCATGATAGGGAGCAGAACTTGATATCCTCTATGATAAATACAGTCATAAACTCTACATCAACGGGAAATGTCCGTGAACTAAAAGGGACTGCAAAGACACAGACCGTGCAAGGGTCACTCTGCTGACTACACCTTCTAACATCAGTGGAAAGGTCTGAGAAGCAGGTTTCATTGACAGAGTAAAAATGTGAGAATTAACCCCTTTTACTTTGAATAAAATGTTTTAACTCGTAACCTGGCTTGGATAGTACCAATTTAAATAATTATAGGCCAGTGTCTAAACTCCCATTTATCTCAGAGATACTAGGAAGAAATAGCAGCAAAGCAATTATTTGAAGTATTACAACAAAAATCAATTAGTCTGGTTTTAGAGAAAATCACAGCATAAAAACAGCACTACCGAAGGTTACTAAAGATCTTTTAATAAATGCAAGGAGGTTTCTGTCTTAGTAGTGTTTGATTCAAGTGCAGCTTTTGATACCATTGGTCATTCAACCATGATCAATAGACTAAGGCACAAGGCTGGAATGTCACGGACTACTCTGGAGTGTTTCTTATCTTATTTGTCTAACAAAAGATTTGTGGTTAAAGTTGGAAATTAAATGTCTTCATTTTCTACACTTTCTTGTGGTGTCCCTCCAGGCTCTATTTTGGGACCTGTTTTGGGACATGCTTCCTTTGGGTCACATTATCTGCAATACTGCATTAATTTCCATTGTTATAAGATTTATAACTTTATGTGTCAATAAGTCCTACTGATGTTTCTAAAGAATCAATTTTTCAAGCATATATTAATGATGATAAGATGTTAACTCAGACAAAACAGAGATTTTAGTCATTGGTGCACAACATTTTGCCTGTAGCAATAAAACCTCTTTCCAGGAATTCAGAACAAGTCAGTACAAAATGCCAAATTACCTGCAAGAAGCAAAATGTGACAGGATATTGCTTCCATTTTAGCTAAGCTTCACTGGTTCACTGCTCAAGGGTTGTCAAGCTCTGCGCGTATGAACTTTGTGGGGTAATGGTGCACATCTTTAACCTGAGCCTAAAGTTGGGGAGAGTACCACAGCTCTGGAAAGCCTCTTGTGTGGTACCAGTGCCGAAGACTCCACATCCAAAGGACTTCAACTGCTACAGGCCGGTGGCTCTGACATCACACCTGATGAAGACCCTGGAGCGGCTGGTCCTTGCGCAGCTTCGGCCCCTGGTGAGCTCATCACTGGGCCCACTTCAGTTTGCCTATCAGCCTGGCATTGGGGTAGATGATGCTGTCATCCACTTCCTACATCGTTCCCTCTCTCACCTGGAGCCCACTGGGAGCACTGTGAGAATCATGTTCTTTGATTTCTCCAGTGCCTTCAACACCATCCTACCCACAATCCTGGGGGACATGCTGGAGTACACAGGAGTGGACCATCACCTCTTCACATGGATCCAGGACTACCTCACTAACTGACCACAGTATGTGAGAACTCAGGGCTGTGTGTCAGACAGGGTCATCTGTAGTACGGGGGCCCCGCAGGGAACGGTTCTGATGCCATTCCTCTTCACTATCTACACTGCAGACTTCTCCTACAACTCCACCAACTGCTTCTTGCAAAAGTTCTCTGATGACTCTGCAATAGTCGGCCTCATCACTGATGGGGACGACAAGGAGTACAGAGAACTGGCCCGGGACTTTGTGCACTGGTGCCAGCAGAATTACCTCCAGATCAACACTGGAAAAACCAAGGAGCTGGTGGTAGACTTCCGCAGGTGCAAACATCCTCCACTGCAACCACTGAACATCCAGGGTTTGGACATCGAGGCTGTGGAGAGCTACAGGTGCCTTGGTGTTCACCTGAACAATAAACTGGACTGGACTCATAACACAGATGCAAAAAAAGTCAGAGCAGCCTGTACCTGCTGCAGAGGTTTAGGTCTTTCGGACCTTTCATGACTCTGTAGTGACATCAGCCATCTTTTACGGTGTGGTCTGTTGGGGCAGCAGCATCTCTGCTGGGGACAGGGAGAGACTGAACAGGCTGATCCGGAGGTTGTGAGTGACAGGAGAATGGTGGCTAAGCTGTTATCCCTGTTGGATAACATCTCCCACCCCATGCAGGAGACTCTGACAGCACTGAGCAGCTCCTTCAGTGGCAGGCTTCTGCATCCACGATGTGGGAAGGAGAGATTCAGAAGGTCTTTCCTTCCATCCGCTGTCAGACTCTATAACAAAATCCTTGTAGCTGACCACACAAAAAATAGACAAATAGACAAAACACACACATCCAATACACCATGGTAGTTTCTATGTGCAATATTTCTTTGAGTGCAATTCCACAGTGTTGTGCATTTATTTATATTTATATATCTCCAGTATATATATATATATATATATATATATATATATATATATATATATATATATATATAGTTTTTATCCCATTGTTTTTCATTTTTGCTTCTTTATTCTTGTACTGTACGCTTTCTGCCGTGACGATTCAGATTTCCCACTTGTATAAATGATTATCTTATCTTATCTCGTTAACATTTCAATACGGAATTAAATTCAAGATCATAATAATAATAATGGTACAATAATTGTATGGATTTTAAACCAGGCAAGAGACTTACAGGCAAGAGACTTCTTACTTACATCGGATATTCTTTTCTTCTATGTTCTTGTCCTGTGTCTATGTGTGACCGTTTGTAGTAACATGAGCAATTTCCTCCGGGATAAATAAAGTTTTTCTGATTCTGATTCTGATTCTGATTCTGATTCTGATTCTGTAATCTGTATCGGACAGTCGCCAGAATTTAAATGTCATTCCGCTTTCCTCCACAGGGCGCCGCTATTGCCATAAATAAAAAATGTATGTCTCTGGTACGTTCATTTTTTTTTTACGAATAGCGCAACCAAAATGGAAACTCATTTTCTTTGCATTCCCTAGAGACTATCCCATAACAGCGACGGATAATTGGACCTTTTGGGATTCTACTCAAAGCTGACGTATCCTGATAACAGGGTGTTGCAAATCTTAGGTAGACTGCCTTTTTTTATAATATTTTAACAATAAGGAATACAATACCATAGATATATGCAACCAGATTCCATTAATTTCATCATTATGCGTCGGGTAGCGAGACCAAAATTACACAGAAACATGATTACTCCATATTGCTGTACAATTCCAATCCTATGTTACTTTGAAATGATACTTCTAGACATTAAAATCAAATTATGCAACAAAAACAACAAACAAATCAAGTTATTTTATGGAAGTATGAACGCAATGATTGTTTTTTCAAGCAAATTGTTGTGCAGGTGTCGGCTAGATCCCGATAATCTGGGGATGATCATTGACCCTTTCGAGGCTGAGTCACTCCGCGTCCACGGGACGTCTGGCTGGGTGGACACAGTCCGCGCGGGAATAGGTGTAGGGCTTCCCTCCCACCACATCCAGGCATCCCTCACTGTTCGAGGCATTGCGGATCCTGCTCTGTTGCTATGGAAATTGAAGCTTAAATTCAGAGCTCTGCCCATGCCAACGTAATTTCTCTAGTAAGTATTTAAGTGATCTGACTGTGTGCAGCAGTAAATAATTAACTACCCCAAATCCGCACAGATCTCTTTTAAACACAGGCTAATTCGTATTCATAAACATTTTCATTAATGTGTGTTTATTATAATTGAGATCTTAGCAAATGACGCATTTATTCAAAGGAACCACACATCACTTATTTAATTGAAATCAATACACTATTTTCTGAACAACATGCTCTACGTTATGTCTTGTCTGAAGGTCCCATAGTAATTATGGGTCGTGGCGCTATCATCTGGTTATTAATTTGTTGCTGATGTTGTATCAAACCTTCCCAAAAGCAGTTTAACATGGCGGTTCGCTCGTTTCACTCTGTCGGTATTCTGCAAATGACATCTCTGCATGAATGTAAGCAGGTCACTGCTTTACAATTTGCTGCGTATACTCATATGAACATGCCTATTACGGTGGTTTGGCTAATCTTTTCATATCTAAGCGTTTTGTCGTGTTTTTTTATTCAATTCCTGTTAATAGTATACAGTAATTACCTTACCTGCTTGCCCCTCAGTAAGGCCCTAACCCCAAACACTGCTGCAGGGGCGCTGCTCGCTGGCTAATCTTGGGTCTGACCCCAAAATGTCCTCTCACTATTCACATATATATCTGTGGCTCTCCTAGAAAGACAATTTGGGATATACAAAACAGCTTGATTTGCTGGGGATTAATGAAGCCCTTCTACTAAGTTGTCTCATTTACCACTGCACTATGTACTGTGTAGGCCTACTAAATATAGGCCTAAATTGTGGATGCATGAGTCAGAGAAAGTACAGATTAGTAAAGTACAAAAAATAAACATTTTTAAACTGTCCGATTTATTTTAAACCTGTCTGTAATTTATCAATGTACCTCCTTTGTACGTCAAGCCCATAAGCAGGGTATGACATAACACGGTACAATAAATGAATTAAATGGAACTGACCCGACTGTAATTCACACGGGGAGTACATCGTATTGTAAGTTTAATCGCCTGCTTTTACCTTGAGTAATTAGGCCTACTTTGCTAATTCTAACTTAATTATGAAACACATATGACCTTGGGGGATTGGCAGTGGACAGCTCCGATTAAAATCATAGTTAATTATATTTCTTCTTGTAACGGGACGATCATTTTATAATATCCCGCAATCCAACTTAAATCTTTCGCGTCCGTTTATGGTTTTGAATAACTTTAGCACAGAGAAATCTCTATGTGACTAATTATACAAAGTCATTGATGGCGAAGTCCCTTTGTAATGTCACCCTTCTGTAATAAGGAGCCTGCATATACTGTACAGTCTGGTATTGTGAGCTAGTTAAGATGCAGAATTTTTTTTGTGTTTGGAAAGAGGAAGCAACAATTAACTATAGTGTTCCACATCAGCAAACAATCCAAGCCTATAACACGTTATGCTAAGAGGCTGCTGTTTTTTTTCTCAGATTTTTATCTATGAATCGCATAATCTCTGGCAGCTGATATGGTATCAATGGCCCCCGCGCTTCAAAAAAATGACACGATTAAGACGTGGACCCCTAAACCAATTAAGCAAAGACGCCTGCGCATCAGGCGGAGTTAAGCTACACTTCTGCCGGAGTGACAGGCTTGTGATAGTGGACAGGCGCGGAGAGACGGTGGGCAGGCTGCAACAAGAGGCAGGGTGCGGCTTTTAGCGGCTTTGAGCCTCTTTAGGTGTGCGTGTGAATGTATGTGCGTATATGAATGAGAGTGTGTCGGGAAGGTGGAGGGAGCTCATCGGTAAAGGAGCGCATCCTCTCCCTGCTGCTGCGGCGTCTTCTTACAGCAAGATCCGTCTCAGAGGAAGCGCACCGTCACACGCAATGCCGACGCCGATCAGCTCCGACCCATCGCTGGCTTTAGGCGCTACAACTGGGGGCTGAGAGCAGTATTGATCCATCTAAAAATAAATGAATTGATAAAAAAAAAAGTAACCGACGCGGATCGATGTCAAACATCCTCCTGTAGCCGCCACTGTCTCTGAGAGCTGAAGGGGGAAGGACAAAGGGATATAAGTGTCTCGTTTCCGAAAAAAAAGAGAGGACAGCTTGAAAGGAACAGGGCTAGGTATAAAGCCAGGCTCCCGGCAGAAGGAGATTAGCGGCGCTGTCCCTCCAGCACCACGGCTGTCACCTTGCTGTCACAGAAAGTCACCGGCGGCAATTATCACCGGATACCGGATTTCATCTAAACCAACTGGGCACCTGCATTTTATCCGGTTTCGGAGAAGTGTTTTTGTTACGGGTGAATATTGTTTGTTCCTTATCGGTTTCTAATATCTGTATATCTGTTTTCAGTGTTTATGTTGCAGATACAAGCTGTTATTCTGTAATACATACAGTTTAATAGTCGTTTATGTGTAAAATCTTGGGTTCGAAGAAAATAGTCTCTATTATTATTATTATTATTATTATTATTATTATTATTATTATTATGCCGTTGTTGTTGGTTTTGTTGTTATTATTGTTGTTGGTGGTTGTGCCGTTTCATCGCTCCTGTAATCTCAGCCCAATCTCCCCCCCCCTCCTTTCTCATCTCCTTCCTACGCTCACACATGCGCCCCCCCAGGGCTCTCCATCGCTTTATCGCTGTGATGCCCGCACCTTGCACATGAGACATGCCTAAGGGACGCGATGGGCCAAGGCGACGACAACGATCGCATCGTGATAAACGTGGGAGGGACGCGGCACCAGACGTACCGCAGCACCTTGCGCACGCTGCCCGGCACCCGGCTCGCCTGGCTCGCCGAGCCCGACGCCCACAGCCACTTTGACTATGACCCCAAGGTGGACGAGTTCTTCTTCGACCGGCACCCGGGCGTTTTTGCGCACATCCTCAACTACTACCGGACCGGCAAGCTGCACTGCCCGGCCGACGTATGCGGACCGCTATACGAGGAGGAGCTGGCGTTTTGGGGCATCGACGAGACGGACGTAGAGCCATGCTGCTGGATGACTTACCGGCAGCACCGAGACGCCGAGGAGGCGCTGGACAGCTTTGGCGGAGGGGCCCCCGACATATGCAACGACGAGGGGGACGCAGACGGCATGGGGGATCCAGGGGACGGCGACGAGGAGCTGGAGATGACCAGACGGCTGGCGCTGGGGGACTCGCCCGATGCCAGGTCCATGGGGCTGTGGCGGCGCTGGCAGCGGCGCGTGTGGGCGCTCTTTGAAGACCCCTACTCCTCCAAATATGCAAGGGTGAGTGCAAGGCGGCGATCGTCCAGCCATTGAACCTTTTGATCCTGCTGGGATGTTTGAATGCACCTGTTGGGCAAATGGTTTTATGATATTCTCTGGTATTCGCCAGGATGTCATATACATTTTATCTTAACTACTGCCGCGTGCGTGTGCCGAAGATACGAAGGAGGGTGATCTCACACACCAACCTGTTACTCCTCGTTTGTCAGCTCGTCGGTAATTCTCGTCATTTTAATCCAGGAAACGTCTGTGAAAAGGAAAGTGAGAGAGAATTTATTATTAAGTTATTTACAGATTGTGGTGTGAGACGTGGCCAGGAAGAATATCGAAAGCTTTAGCGGTTTGTGGGAATGAGTAATGTAACGAGCGTACCGATGTTTTGCTCATTAAAGCGATGCTGTAGAGTAATAACAGCGAGACGAAAGCACTCTACACCAAATCAAAACTATCCATTCTGAAATCTTCACTATCGATTTCTGCTAATCTAGTAAAAGGATCCCACATACACATATGGAAATAAAGCCAAGTTAGGAAACAAAAGCATGAAAAACTAAACACAACTGTGAGTAAAAGGATGTAATCCATGTTAGAACCTTTTCAGGAAGCTGGAGCCCCACAAAACGAGCGAGGGCTCTGTTAGAGAACAGCGTTCCTAGTATTAATTACTTCGTAATTGACAACCTTATTTTTATGGCATGGGGAGGGGGGATGGGGGGGCTAAAAGTAAGTATTGGACAGGACCCACTAAACATTGGACGTCGGATAGGCGTGCAGATCATGTCTATATTAGGTCCGTAAGTCCATGACCAATTCTGGACATTCTATACAACGTCCAAACTAGGTCCACAATTTGAACGTCCATCCATGACCCAACTTGTACGTCAATATGACAAATAATAATAATAATAATAATAATAATAATAAATAATAATAATAAAATAATAATATAAGGCATTAAAAAGCTATGTGTCTAAACGGCTTGATGCATACCAAGGTGCTCATGGGTAATGGCGTGTGGGGTGATGGAGTTTGCGGTTGGTGGTGACAGGACCACAGGGTCTGCCTATCTCTCTAAAGCCGAACGAGCTCCTCAGTGCCTGGATTTGAGGCGATGATCATCGATTGGTTGTTTGTGCCAAAAAAAAAAACTGCATGTCTAAATAAAGTGGTGTCATTAGCATTGGGTTACATCTCCCGCAGGTTCTCAGCCCCTCCCCCCCCCCAATCACTGCACATGTCACATGTGTCTGTCCCAGTGAGCTGAGCACTTCATAAGTGGGTGACAGGTGAAATCAGGTGCGTAGGTAGCAGAGAGGGGGCCAGATGCGGATCACTGGCTTACAGGGGGAGGTCAGCTCAATTTGCCGGCACATTCTCAGTCCTCGTTCCCTGTACAGCACTGTGCCAGGCGTTTCGGGGGGGGGAGGAGTGTAAATGACCTGCCTGAGAGCAGCACTGCAGCGTGACCCCACCCTTCCATCTATAGCAAAGACCACATGCAGTCTGAGGCCCTACAGGCCACCTGACCCCGTGATTTAGGTTTCTGCACAGATTGATTTCCTTTCTGAGTGACAAGCCTTGGATGGGTGACAATTTTTGGGCATTTTATTGCTGTAATGAAATAATATATGTTTATGATTATCTTATAGTACCTGGTTATCATCATAGCCTTAGATTTGATGTTGTTTTGTTCAGTGGGTCTTGGGAATATGTTTCCATGGCAACCATTCTAGCTCTAGCACAAAGCTAATTAATGGCCTTTTGCTCGTCAGTGGGCGTTTCCAGACTCGCTCCGCAGACCAGGTCAGCTTTTTTTTTCTGGAAAAACTATAATAAGAAATTTTCGTCGGCTCTTGGCTTATATCTGGCAGTCCGTGGCTCCTTCCGGAAATGTCTGAAACTGGAAGGAGCCTCATCTGTTGGTGTCTAAATGGAGAAATGCTACACCAGTGTTCTCACACCGCTCTCCACATTAAAGGCTGTGGCCAGATCGCGGTGTGTTTGCATGTCTCGTGGCACTAAGAAAGGGTGTTAACTTAATGGGGAGGGGGGGGCGTGTTGACACCCCTCCACTGTACCTGATTCCCTGTAATTTACATGGGTTTGTAATAGCAGTGAAATAGCAGGCTATAATGAACTTAGACACAGGACATTGGTTTCGTATCACGTATCATGTTGTATGCAGTATATATGTAGTATAAGGCATCACAGGAGAGTCTACTTGTGGGTGGAGACTATGATACTTTAACTTGCCATTTTACTGTGATGCAAATGGTTAGCGAAGTATATAGGGACGTTCGTCTGCTCCCTGGTACCAGGCCGTGTGCGATTTCAGTGAATTTTCTGCAAGTCCGCAAAGTGAAGTCACTTAAAAAGTTTTCCCGTTAGTGGACGTCATGAAAATAAAACTTGTCATTAATCATGCCATGAGATTAGCATCCATCTTAAGCACGCAGCAGGCTTTCCTTTGTACCTATTCACTCTCAGGTTCTGTTTCTATTGCAGTTTTGCAAATTACTTCTGTTTCTACTCTCCACTATCAAGAGAATATGAAAACTTTTTTGTGATATTTTCAGGGTTTTTTTCCCCCCCCATTTCCATTAACGGTTTTTCAGTGTGCGTATTCAAAATGTGCAAAATCTAGGTCAGCAAAAACACCCCTGACTCTGTGGGCTTCCTCCTTCTCCCTGCCTTGCCGCCACTGCAGCGGCACTGAGTCCTGGCAGATTAGCTTAAACACAGGCTCTGCTTCCTGATGCACTGAGAGCTTTCATGTTTTAGGCACGGCTGACTTATCAGGTGAGACTTCGGGAGCAACCAAGCGAGTCTCGAGTTAGACCCCCCCCCACCACACACACACAACACCAGGACATAGCCACTTGCTGTCGTGTGCAGGAACCAGCAGGGGAGCCCTGATCTACTTCTCTACAGGTATTAATCCACAACACGCGTAGCTCACAGGAGACTAGTGTTTCCAACATGGACCCCCCTCTACGACATGTGACGATCCCCCAAGAGGGGAGAGCAGAATGGCCACACCCCCTCAGCCCCCCCAGCAGAGGAGGAGGAGACATGCCGGTAGTCCGCACAGATGCTGGGGTCCGACGTCACTGCGTCCCAGCAACGCATCATCGCTGTGGCTTCATCACAAACGTCACCCCGGCAACCGGCCACACACAGAATGGCCTGCCTGATCACATGACCAAAGAGCCTGTCATTAATGGAGCGGTACTGTTAGAGTGATAGTCAGCTAGTTAATCAACTAATCTGTCTACTATACAGTGAATCAGCTGGTCAGCAATGTCCCCTTTTTTAGCAAAACTGAACAATGTGCAAATGAATTATACATTCAATTATAATCTAATGAATTATATCACATTAAACTCTGGTATATTGGAGTAAATTACTCCCCATTAGGTGGAATTTGGTTCAGCTTGGAGTTGAGGAATGGCATCTAGCAGATGCAAGCGGAATAAACCTCAGATGATAATCCATCCATGGTGCTTCAGGGACATGGATCAAACAGGACTGACGCAGGATGATTAGAAGGACTCAGTGGAACATCTCCTTCTGGATTCGGTAGATTTAAAGGGAATTCAGGGCAGGAAGAGTGAGGTCTCCTTTCTTGGTTCTACATGCACCTTGAGCCAGTAGCTGAGCAGCCAACACAGCGAGACCTAAATGAGGATTTCCAGTAGGTTCACTCCAATACAGGGGTCAGCCGTGACCCAGGTGCAGTGATTTAAATTCCAACCTTTATACCATTTTATTGATAAATAAAGTTCAAGTTCCTTTCGCAGAAGTGGCAAGCACTGTTTCGCACTAAAGCTGCAAAGCCAGGCGACATGGACAAAGGCAACTCTGCAGTCTGACAGCATGTGTAAAAATCCCACATCTTCGAGGAGAAGTCCAGGAAAATGGCCTTGAAGCTGAATTAGCAGAGCTGAACCTCCGAGGAAACAAACTTACTGAGGAAATGAGCGAAAATGCCCCGAGATTCTGCTTTTTTCATGTACATTTAAAGAAAAGGCAAAAATAAAAAAATGTAAGGAATGGAATCAAAACATATGGTCTAGTGATTAGGTTGTAGTAATTAAATATTTTTAGTAACAATACTTTATTAAGACTTATTGTTCTAGACTAATAGGTGTGACTTTTCTGCTCGGTGTACTGGGGTTCTAAGGTCACCGGAGCTGAAGTCTCGCCGTGTTCCGTGCTGATCCTGACACCTGGTCGCACAGCATCTTCCCCTCTGTAGTTGGTACAGGAACCTTGTCGGTAAAGCAGCAGTGGATGAACCACGTGTACCCATGCGTGGGATGATGCATATGTTGGGGACAGGTCCTTGGTAAAGGTCAGGACAGCAGGTATAGGGCACTGTCAGCTACTGAGATGGAGGTTCACAGGGTCACTGTTAATAGGCGATGGCTGGATGGATGGATGGCAGCTATTGTGTGAGTGGAACACCGTGACCAGAGGTCTCCTATAACTTGCTGGCACTCTGACCCCTCCCCTCCCCTTCCCCTCCCCCCAACCCGTGTCTCAACATCAGGCCCACTATGATCCGCAGCTTCTGCAAGAAGTTCCAGCAAAACATGCACATCTGGCGAAAACAGTGCTCTGGAACAGGCATGCAATGATAGGAGCAGCAATTATGGAAATGCATCATGTGATATATAAATAATATAAAGTTTCTGAGGGATGTGTGAAAGGATTTCGCCTTCCTCGGCATGTGTGCAGAACCATCTAATGAAGAATAAAAATGTCCTCCTTCAGAAAATGCTTGACATGTCTTCTTTATTACCCATACAAATCAACTTCAAAAGGCTCATGCTGAATTTAAAATAATAAGGATCTAAATGTATAACCTCAATATCCACGAGTACAAGGGACTGTACATTTAGTTAGCTAAAATAAAACTAACATTTAACTAAATGTGAATTATAACACTGCTTTTACTGGACCAAATGTGCGGCATTTTCAGAAGAGTTCAAGCTGCA